TCTCAGAGCTGCTTCCTCCTACACGCTCCTCACAGTTTAGTCACCTGCTGGATGGATTTCCTGTGATGCTTAACTTCAGTCACAGGGAGAACTCTCAGTAACAAGTTACAGATGCTCCTTAAAGCTTGAAAACAGCAAAAGCTGGGTCGCTGAATAAATTGTGGCAAAGTGGAAATATTTTCTATGAAGTTCCCGGAGGAGTATCTAGCACGTATCAAGCACTCAAACCTTTTGGAGATGAGGAAGAGGTTAGGGTACAGTGTTAACGAGACTATCAAACCTCAGACTGCAACTACAGCTCCCCACAAGGAAGGTAACCATGCGCTGCAAACACGTGCTAATAAAAATGGAAAAAAAGAGACATATATGGGGAGTTTTAGCTCGAGATTGACCTGTGACAGTGGTACCCCTTGGGTTCAGTCTTAATTTCTGGAATGGAAAACCTTGGAGGAGTTGGCTTTGATTTTCTTATGGGAAGAAGATGAAGGAAGGAGAAGCAGGAGCACAGGCAGCGGGGAGGGACCAGACAGAAGTGTGCTGTGGCCAGTTACTCCCCGCAGCACTAGATGAAGGGTAGGTGGACGGCCTACCCTGGCTACCATTGTAGGAGAGCTGCTAAAATATCAGTGAGGACCAAGCATGCAGGAAACTGTAGAGACACGGAGAAAATTGAATAGATCAGGATCCTCTCAAATGCAGAACAGAATGTGGTTAGTCACATGCCCCGGTCTGAGACCCCAGGGGCACTCATGAGCAATGATCTCTCAATAATCTCTAAATAGGTTTCTCGTGAAACTGGTTCCAGCTGATTCCATGTCTTTTTAGTTTGTCAATAAGCACGTACAATTCTCTCCTCCAAACCCAAAAGCCTAGAATACAATAGAAGTTGCCAGATGCCTCCAGAAGTTTTACTGCTTTGCTTTTCCTTCTCTAAATTAACACTGAACAGACATTAAGTACTGTGAGAGCCTGAGGCAGGAGAATCACAAGTTCAAGTCCAGGTTAAGAATTTAGTGAGACCCTGTTTCAAAAAAGAAAAGGCTGAGGATGTAGCTCAGCACATAGGTCCTGAGTCCAATCCCCAGTACTGCAAATAAAAATATTAACTTTGAAGAGTGCCCAACTGTTACTTGACCTGGGAGCTTGTGTGTCCCATCTGGTCGGATCCCAGTCTGTCCCACAGCCCATTCCAGAACCTCAGACAGTAAGATGGTCAGCAGATGCTGACAGTTGGATTTTTGCTACTGAGGGTTCTATCTGTGCGTACCCCCCCCCCTCCAACTGGCAGACACTGTACCAAAGCCAAGAGGACAGAGGGACTGGCAAACTGTCGTGAGTGCTGATTGCTGCTAGTGGACTGGTGATGTCATTTCCTTAGATAGATGAGGTGGATGGCAGCAGTTCCTTCATATGCCGTTTCTTCTTAGACTTTAAATATGTTTGGGGCACTGGGAAAAAATGGGAAACACGAAGAAAAGAAAACAGCCACATTCTGTCCGTGTTCTTTGTAACTTACAGACATTATTTCCGTTGGCTGTCTGAGAAACGTCTCCTCCCCATGGCTTCTGTTGCCTTGTTTTCTGAGTCTTGAGATGTGTAACTTGTTCTAGTATGCTTTTTCTGTTGTTTGAAAACAATAGAAACTCAGATCCTCTTTGGAATTAGAGATTTTTCTGTCTTCTTTTTCTTTTTTTGGCGGGGGTGGGGTGGGGTGGGTGCTGAGGATTAAACCCAGGGCCTCACACATGCTAATAAGCATGGGTCCTACCACTGCGCTCCAGCCCCATAGTTTATTTTTTTGGTACTGGGGATAGAACTTGGGACCTTGCATTTGCAAGGAGGCGGTGGAACCACTGAGCTAAATCCCCAGGCCTATTTTATTTTTTTAACAAATGGAAGAACACAGGAAACCACATGCACCAAGGAGCTCTTGAACGAACTTGGAGATGTCTAGGATGTACTCAGCACACCATCTTTTTATTCTCACACAATTTCCCCTTCCAATAACCTATTCATTTCGTTTGGGTCCCTTAAATAAGCCAATCTTTGCTACACAGCAAAGCAGCATTTTAATCCACCCTGGCTCTTTTACTATATTTGGATCACTGTGTGATTTCATAACATTTAGAGAGTAGTTTGTTTATATTTCTACTGTAAATCTGGTTAAAACTAGATCTTTCTCTTGTTTTTATTTCATTTTTATGACTTGTATTAGATGAAATCACAGCTGATAAGAGTGGGGTTAGAATTTTTTCCTTGTGGATGTTGACATTCACACATTTTATGACAGTTCATGACTCAATATTTTAAAATTTCCAGGATATTTTGTTTATAAAGAACATATCTTCTGATTACAGGAATGACCAAACACAACCATAGAGGAATTTGTGTGTTCACAGGAAAAACATCTTGTGTCAATATTGAATACTGAAAGTGGTCCCAGACCTTAAGTGTTGATATAATAAATACACACAATTGTTTATTTTCTTATTGATACAATAAACAACTCTCAAAATTGTTTTCCTGTGACAATTTGACATTGCTTTTATGTTTTGTGTGGGTTTTTTTTTTTCTGTTTTGTTTTGAGACAGGATCTCATTATATAGCCCAGGCTGTCCTTGAACTCACAATTCTCCTGCCTTAGCCTCCAAGTGCTGGACTTGCAGGTGTGTGCCATCATCCATGTCTGACTTCTTTGTGCATTTAAAAACTTTTTTTTTTCATCTTAAAATTATGTATTATTTCTCCTTTCTACAACTTTGTATATTTTATATCTATTTGTTTTGCTTTGGTTTAGTTTTTCGGTTTTTTTTCCAGTACCTGGGATCAAACTCAGGACCTTTCGCTTGCCAGGCAGGCGAAGTACTGCTGAGCTACATCTCAGCCCTGGTTTGTTTTTTTATTGTTTTGTTTTGTTTTGATACCACGGATCGAACTTGGGTCCTTGTGCTTGCGAGGCAGGCAACGGAACCACTGAGCTAAGTCCCCGGCTGGTTTGGCTTTTTTGAGACAAGACTCACTATGTAGTTCAGGCTGGCCTCAAACTCGAGACAGTTCTCCTGCCCCAGCCTCCCCAGTTCTGGGATTATAGGTGTGCACCACCATGCCTGGCTTATCTTTTCTTTTTTTAAGAAACAATTTGATACTGCTACCACTGCTGCTAATGACTTCTTAAAACACTACCCCAAGACAAATTTTCTTTCAACACTGTCAGTTGCTGAAGAAACTTATTACAAAATTATCCAAGTATATATGGACTAGAAAAGTGTTTCACATATTTCAACTTGATTTTGTCTTTATTTTATGTTGAAAAGCTGTCATCCAAAACCTGATTTTTTTTCAGATGAAAGAGCATTCTGTCCCCAACTTTTGATAGTTCATAGAAAAGGAACCAGAATTTTCTTGTGTTTGAACAACTTTATAAATAAAATTTTGTTGATATCTGAAAAAAAAAAGAAAGAAACAATTTGATTTGAATAAAGAGATGGAGAAAAGGAAAATTGCAATATACAGGCTTAGAGACAACTCAAGAAAATAAGGAGGTTAAACTCCATCAAACTGTTCATTTCTCCTTTGAAATGAACTTTATTCTATTAGAGCACTTTTAGGTTCCCAGCAAACTTGAGCAGAGACTGTAGAGTTCAGGCAGGCACTGCTTCCCCAACTAGCAACATCCCAATGAGAGTGGGTCTTTGTCACATTGGATAAGCCTGCAGCAACACAGCATCACATCCAAATCCACAGATTACTTCAGGGTTCACTCTTGGTGGTGTTCACTGTGGGTTTTGTAGATTAGAACGTGTCCCACAGCATAGTAGCATACAGAAGCATTTTGCTGCCCTGAAAACCCTCTCTGTGCCCTGCCTATTCATCCCTGTCCTCCCGAATGCCTGGTATCCATCTTTTTAATGCCTCTATCATCTGCTTTTGAGCATGTCATAAATGAGCTAGAATTGTATGTATATAGTCTTTTCACTTAGCTCTTTTACTTGGTAATGTGCCCATTTCTTTTTGTCACTTGATAGCTCTTTTGTATATTGTTTATTTAAAAAATTTATTTTGGTGCTGGGGATGAAACCCAGGCTTTGCACATGGAAAGCACATACTCTGTCACTGAATTGTACCTCTAGTCTCTGCTCATGTCTCCTCAGCGCTGGTTAATACTCCCTTGTCTGGATGTACCGCAGTTTACTTGTTTACCTACTGGAGGGTACTTGCTTCCACGTGTCGGCAGTTGGGAATAAAGCTGCTGTGAAAAGCTGTGTGGATATAAGATTTCACCTTATTTGAATAATTTCCAAGGAGCAAAACTGATGGATCACAGAGTGAGAATAAGTCTAGTTTTTTAGGAAACTGGAAAGCTCTTTCCACAGTGTCTGTACCGTTTGCAGTCCCACCAGCAGGGACTGAGAGCCCCACGTCTTTGCCAGCACTGGGTGTTGTCAGCGCTCTCAATTTTGGCCACTCCTCTAGGGGATATCTCATTTTAATTCACGTGTCCTCAGAACTCTTCATCATCACCATCATCACCAGGGATGGAAGCCAGAGCCTTTCAAGTGCTAGGCCAGCACTCTACCACTGAACTACATGCCCAGCCCCTCCTCAGAACACTTCTTAAACAACGTTTGCGGTTAGACTTCATACAAGTTACGAGGCCATATCACAAAAACTCCAGTTTACCCTCCGTCTGTATTAACACGGTCTCTGTCTTGGCCTTCTGTCTGACTTCCGCTTTACCCTTAGATATGTATGTCAGTGTATATTTTCAAATGGTTTTACTTTTTGTTTGTTTGGGTTTTTGTTTTTGTTTTGTTGTGTTTTGTTTGTTTTGGTACCAGGATTGAACTTGGCACTTTGACCTTGTGCTTGCGAGGCAGGCAGCGGAACCACTAAGCTAAATCCCGGCTGATGTCAGTGTATATTTTCTTTCTTTTTTTTTTTTTTGGTACCGGGGATTGAACTCGGATCCTTCCGCTTGCAAGGCAGGTGGCAGAACCACTGAGCTAAATCCCTGGCCCCTGTCAGTGTATATTTTCAAGAACAAAGATATTCTCTTCTACAACCACAGTGCAATGATCAAAACAAGAAATTTAGTGGATATACTGTGATTAGTTACAGATTTTAGGGTGTCCTTTTACACCATTCTTGTGTGTGTATGTACAAAACACTAAGATGGTGCCAAAGTCAAATTCTACACAAAGATAGACTCAGAAAAACATGTTAGATGACAGACAGATAATTGAACCCAGGGTCTTTGCAGTTAGCTACACCCCCAGCTCTTTTTTTAAATTTTTGAGGAGGGTCTTGCTAAGCCACTAGCCCAGGATGGAGACCTCCTGCCTCAGCCTCCCTGAGTGCTGGGATTACAGTTGTGCACCACCACGCTGCCTCATGGTGTCCTCCTTCCTATGTTCATGACTTCGGACCTGGATCCACTGGTTCATTCTCCCTAGATTCGGTGCCTGCCTGTTCTCCCTTCCTACCCACACTCAAGCACATACACTGCACAGTGGAGTGTATCCCCACGTCGTGGTGCTGGGTATTGAACCCAGGCCTTCTTGCATGTGGCTCCACTGAGCTACACCCTCCTCTTCTCTCATTTTTAAACAACAAAGTTAATTTTTGCACAACATGTCCTTCAATGAGCCCCAATCCTATTGTATGAAAGCAGGGTTTCCTTACCAAGACCAAGCAATCTGGTTTTCTGTTTTTAATTAAATGCAAGACAAAAACAACACATGAATCACTTCCTCTACAGGACAGGGACTGCAAGTAGACACTCACTGTCCAGATCTAGGGTCAGCTGCACTCTGCCAGCCCCATTTCCTCAGGATGTGTATCTTTCTGCGCTTCTAGATCCTTCTGGAACAGTCACCAGCTGCCTCTTCCTCACAGACCAGGTGGTGTGGTAATGGGGTGACCTGGACTGAGACTTTTTACAAAGGCTGGCTAAGGTTTTCACTATCAACAGTTTGAAGTTCCTGACGTTGGTTTCAAATACTTAAGGAATCTAGCTTTGTTAGTAAACAAAAATTTTAGCTTTATAAAATATTGATAATTTCCTTTCCTTTCCCTTCAGTGTCTATTTCAAAGGCCTGTACCCATAATCATTTAATACTTTGGAAGAAAGGTTCTGGTCATTTTTTCTTATAAAGGCTTTCATCAATGGGTACTAAGTGCCTGCAGTATATCAGGCACTGTGCTAAAGATCGGGGACATCAGTGATCAAGACTGATAAAAAGAAACTTGTTGGCCTTTGGAACTTATGTTCTAATAGGTAGAGACAAAGTTTTAAAGAACCCACAAAAACAGCTAAATTATGTAGTTTGTTGCAAGATGCTAAGTGCTGGCAAAGATATAGATTAAGGGAGAATGAGAATACAACATTGGTAGTGGAGATAGTTGTAATTTTAAATATTTCAGAGGGCTAAAATAGAGTGCTTTCCTAACATGTGTGAGGCCTTGGATTCAATCTCCAGGATATTAAAAAAAATTAAAATATGTCAAGTCCAGCCTTTTAATTTTTTAAAATTGTCAAAGGTGGCAATCATACAGCTATTCGGGGAAGGGGCACTGCAGGAAGAGGGAACAGCCAGTGTAGTAGATGTGTAAAAGGCTGGAATGTACCTGGCTTGTGAAGGCAAAAACACTTGTGGTAGATTGGGAGTGTTATGGGGATGTATACGGCAGTGATGGCGAACTTTCAGTGATAACAGTCAGCTGCAGCACGAGTGCCATAGGTTCTCCACACCTGGTACTGTGCTTTCTGAGGCCATTACAAGGACTTTATTCTGATTGAAATGGAGAACAGCTGAGGAATTGGGTTAGAGACGTCACATGATCTGACGGGTTCAGAAGGGGTTGCTATGACGTGTCCCCTCTAAAATTCATGTTGAAATGTAATTGCCAAAGCTGTAACAATTTCAAAGGTAGAACCTTTAAGAGGCAGGCCATGAGAGCTCCACTCGCAGGTGGGGCTGGTGCCCTTATAAAAGGATGAGTTTGGCCCCTTTGCCCTTCTGCCAACGTAGTAAGAAGGTCCACACTGATGCAGGACCCTTAACACCAGGCTTCTCAGCCCCAGGACTATAAATCAACAAATATTTATTAGAAATTACCTAATCCATGCTGTTTTCATAACAACACAAAACAAACTAAGGTGTAGGGACGTAGGGAGGGCAAAGGTGGAAGTCTCGGGACTAATTAGGACACCGTTACAGTACTGTGGTAGAGAGATGTTGGTGGTCTAGACCAGAATGGTTACAGAGGAACTAGCAAAAAAGAACGTGATTGGGCCTGGGATTTAGCTCAGTGGTTCTGCCGCCTGCCTTGCAAGCGCAAGGATCCAAGTTTGATGCCCGGTACCAAAAAAAAAAAGAGAATGTGATTCTGTATGGTAAATTGATAGAATTTCCTGGTGGGCTGGAATGTGGACTATGAAAAAGGACTCCAAGCTGAAGGCTTTTGGGTTGAGCAATTTGAAAACTGGAGTTGCTGTCAACTGAGGTAAGGAAGATTATGCGCAGAGGCTTTATGGGGAAAGATCGGGAGTTCCATTTGGAGTTTGTTCAGTTTGATACATCTATTAGGGATCTAAGTGGAATCAACAGATCAGTGTGTCTACTGTCAAGAGGAACAGGAGCTGGAGCTCTAAAACTGGGAGTTGACAGTATGATGCCATATATGTGATCACCCAGAGAATGAGAGTGGATAATGAAGACAACCCAGGGCATACAGTACTTATCCCGGGATACCTTTGAGGTGTAGGAAAAGCAAAGGAGACCAGGACTGTCTAAAGGGATAGCAACCTCTTCACCACCTCAGTTCTGTAAGCCAAGCAAAGAAAGTGAGTTAAGGCAGAGGACGTTAGGCTTTCCATCTAGATGTCCCCCCAAAGCCTCATGCACTCATAGGTGGGGCTTTTGGGAGTGACTGGCTCATGGGGGTGCCACACTGGTTTAGGCCGCTGGTGGGTTTATAGCTAGGTGTGATGCTGGGAGGAGAATCCTGGTGAGAGGAGGTGGGTCACTGGGGGCGTGCCCTGAACTGTGTACTTTGTATGCTTGTTCGCAAACTGAGTTGGATGGGAACTGAATCAAATTCAGTAATTAGGTTCAATGTTGACCTTATGGGAAATTTGATTCAGCTCTCATCCAGTTCGGCTTGTGACCAGAATCATGGAGAGAACGGAGTTCGTGAACCCAGGTACCACAGATACCTTCCTGCTCCCTCAACCCCTCTTGATACTTCCTGCCTGCCATGCCACCCTGCCTTGGAGCCAGCCTGTGGATTGAAACCTCTACAAACTGTGAGCCCAAACAAACCCTTCCTCCTCTAAATTGTCATCGGATTTTGTCTCAGTGGAGAAAGTAAGACAGAGGGTGTGATCAGATGTGTCGAAAGCTACCAATTCAGGGTGAGAACTGAGAATGGACTATTTTTGATTCAGCAACATGGAAGTCATTGCTAACCTTGATCAGAGCAGTATCAGGGAAATGGTGGGGCCCAAAGAGAAACTGGAGACAGCAAGTGTAAAATTCGAGGAGCATGATGGCTGAGGGGAGGGGAGGGTGTGAGCTGCCAGAGACTGTGGAGTGAAGAGATTTCAGTTGGGGAAAATTACAGCAGGTGTCTGCTGCTAGAGAAGATCCAATACACAGGGCACTTCATTACAGGAAAGGGAGAAGGGCGGGAATGGAAGCTTTGAGAAGAGTGGGGACAGGATGTGGTCTACAGCTGAGTGTCAGGTTGGGATAAGAACATGACAGGCAGGGCACATGTGTGGACCGTAGTTGTAGGTGTCTGTGGGAGACTGTGGAAGTCACCTGTTGACTGCTTTTTCTTTTTTTTGGTACCGGGGATTGAACTCGGGTCCTTGCACTTGCACAGCAGGTGGTGAAACCACTGAGCTAAATCCCTGGCCCTGACTGCTTTTTCTTAGTGAAGTAGGGAGGGAGGTTGTCCGCTGGGACCAAGGACTGGGAGGATGATGGACTGTTACAAAGAAAGGAGGTGTAAAGTCGTGGTCTGGTAATGAATTCAGTCAGTTTTGTTGATTTGTTTCATTTAGCCACATGAGCACGGGCATGGAGAAGGCGGGGTTGAGTAAACCAGGTTTTGGTTTTGTTAAGACAAAGCTAGACAGTGCAAAGAGGTCGAGAGAAAGCAGGAGTGTGAGGATGGTCACTGAACGAGGAATTTGAGCAAGGGAAGGAAGAGAGGACGTCAAAAGCAGAGTGACAAATTACTTAGCTTCTTCATAGCTGTTTCCTATCTGAGAGTCCTAGAATGTTATTGGGAGGCTTTTTGGTAATAATGTACCTGTTATGTTAGAACAGGACCAAGCAGTGAATAAGCACTCAATTTGGGGTTCTCAGACTCTGTTATAGAACCTGGGGAACCATGCAAGTACTTTGGCTCACAGCCCAACCCAGATAAGAGTATTTGAAGATGGGCCCTTACTCTGCATCGACTCCAATATGCTATCTGGGCTGCAGATGTTGGCATTAGGAGAGGGAGAGGGCGTGGAAAAGGAATGAATATGTTATGTACTTGTACTGACTCAACATGAGGAATGTAAACATCATGTACAGGAAAGATATACTAAGAAATTAAAAATAAAAGCACCAACAATGATCTTTAATATACTGAATGTCTCATGAGGCAGGCAGTGTACCATTATTGTCTCACATAAGTCCCACTTTAAAGACGAACTTGTGCCTAAAGTCACGAACAGTAAGTGGCAGGACCAGGTGCTCCTAGCTGGTCTCCTGGCCACGCCCTTCCCACTGTAAGCTTGAGGTCCAGTGATAGCTTGAGGGCTGTAGCCTCACCTGGGACACTAGTAGAACTGCACCACAATCTGCAGTTTACCAAGATCCCCAGAGACTTCTATGTACGTTTAGTAGCCGTGAACTGCACCACGCTGGCATTCATTACCACATCCCACCCTGGAAGAACGTGGACCCAGTTGAGCCATTTTGATGAGCAAAGGCAATGTGTATTTTAAGGACTCCTTAAAATTTCAGTCACTTCTAAGTGTTAACTTTTAAGTATCCACTAACTGAATTAGTCCTTTATGACTTCAAAAAGCTAGTAAACTACTAAAAAGGATTATGTGGAAGTGTTTTAGTTGTGGAGTCATACCGAAAGTCTTTTAGGATTCTTTGTTTTTAATCTAAAGCCAATAAACTAGCCTGAGGCTAGAGGTGTGGCTCAGCAGTAGAGTATGAAATGTGCCATGAAACACTATTTGTACAATGCTTTGTGGTCACTTGATTTTTTTGGAATGACTACAGGATTATAACGGGGATTCATGAAGACAGTCCAAGGTCATCAACAGTAAGAGTAGTAGCAGGAATACAATTTAAACTGTTCGCTAACTACTTTCTTTTTTTTGGTCCCAGGGATTGAACTCCGGTCCTTGCGCTTGCGCAGCAGGCGGCGAAACCACTGAACTAAATCCCCTGCCCCACTAACTACTTTCTCATGCTGATCTCACTACATAAAGACTACAGAATAGAGGCAAACACTGTGAAGTATGGAGGAAAGCAGTCCCTTCCAAGGGCATGGGGCGGCACCGTGTTGTTGTTTCCTGGGGACTCAGACTGGGGTAATCACTGTTACTGTGCATGGGGAATCCTGGGTCTCTTACAAGCTTTATTCTGGAAAGACTTTGATAAGTTTTTTATTTTTATGTTGTGTTTTGTTTATCCTTGGAGGGGAACCAGTACCATGTTGAAATAACTCTTCTGAGCAGAAAACCAAAATCATTATGAACTGAACACACATAATCTTGGCTGAAATAATACCTTAGGCTTAAGGAATGATTTAAGGATGTTTATTTACAAGATACAAATGTTTAATATTTAATAGGAATTAAAGTGCTTAATTTTACAATGTTTTCAATTATCTGCCTTTATGACCAAATATACATATGTTACACAGTATATACACTATCTGCAAGTATTTTACATTCATACAGCTAGCAAAGAAAAATCATTATGTACAGTTTTCACATTAGAGTCAACTCTGAAATTATGATAACACATCTTCTCAAACTTAGTCAACAAATAAAAACAATCAAGATAATACTTATTTTTAAACACCAGTCAATTGTCACAAGATGAAATCCTAGTCTTTTTTTTAAAAAAAAAAACCTTTTCTATATAGATAACGATTGTTTTGCTAATGAAAGACAACCCCCCATGATAATTCCAGTATCCATATACTATGTAATATATAATTTGATTCTGTTATAATGGTTCCCACAGACTACTGTTTCTTCCAAACCTATATTTCACTCTATTTAGTATTAACTTATTAAAATATACGAAGATTTCTTGATTTGCTTTTTCACCAAACCTACCACAATGAATTTTAGGAAAAGGGACGACCTTTATGTAACTCAGGGCCTCCACAGGTTAACTTGTAGAAGCTTTGTGCTATTTCACCTCAATGTAGAAGACACTGTGCTCTGCCAAGGGTTTAGTCGAGAGAGTATAATACCATGACTGGCATTAGAGGAATGTTTGCCCCAGTAAACTGCAGAGAAAATGGTCCAAGAGAATGAAATTATCTCTTAAAACCTTAAAGAAAATAAAATGACAAGATTCTGCAGTCTGTAACTTAGAAGCCAAGGTCAGAGCCTGGGTGCAGTGGGTCACACCAGCATGCAAGTACGTGGATTTGTATCTTATAGTTCATACTCCTTGTGCAATCTGAGTATTTTCCTCCTAACATCCATGGCTCTGATCTGGAGACGAGCAGCCTATCTATCTTCTCTCTGTTCATTCTTGGTTGTTTCAGTCTCTAATCTCATTCCTGTCCATCCTATCCCCCGACAAAATAAGAGTGAGGGCATGTAAAAGGATGAATTATACATTAAAAATCCACGTGAATAATTTATGTTAAAATACTTAAAGAAAAATTTCTATAAAAATTTCATTCCTATGGAAGGAGAGAATTGAAAATCAACCATTTTTACATATGTACATAGAGGTATAAATTCACAGAAAGGGTTTTTAAGTAGACCTAGAGGTCTCTACATAACACGTACTCACTTTCTAAATCTAGAGAAGCTATAGTAAGACAGTATGTGGTATGAAAATGAAAAGTGGTTTGATTTTAATAAAACTGGGTAAGAATGAAGTAAAATGATTCACTATAGATATCAGATATCAATAGAGCCCTAAGAATAGGAACTGGTGAGCCCCAGTTCTGATTTTGACACATGCTTGGAGAATTCAAAATTTTAGAATAAAAACAAAGACATTCTTGTCTTTCAGATTTTAGCTGATAAAGTCCATGTGCTTAATCCTTAAGACAACTATGAATATCATGTGATGTATAAATTTTCATATAGCTACTCTGCATTATAGCAAGGATACTTGCCAAAAAAATTAGACCTTTGTTCCCTAGAAATTTATTTGCTCTCATTGGTGCTATTCCTCCAGATATACACATTATATAGAAAAGTCATGATTAGAGATGTATCACAGACACTATGCTCAGAATAACTTAAGGCTTTAGATACAAAGAAATGAGATCTAAAATGTGAAGGGAGGAGAAAGCCCCACACTGTCTCCATAAAATAGAAATAAGAAAAAGATAGAAATAGGAACTTGCAGAAGTATTTTTGAGAAAAGGTTCTTAGAAGGCATCAATGGATCTTTAACAACCCTGCAATACCAGGAAGTTTTAACAGTTTTCTTTATAACTAAATAACTAACTAGAATAAGTACTCTAACAAAATCCACAGAGAAATTTGAAAAGGTAGTTCCTGTAAAAATTTTGGTAATTAAAAAAATTTGTAGTAGGACAGCCAAGTGAGAATAAGTATGCCAACATATATGTTGAATTGAACTTCATGGACAACAAAATATAGCTTAATAGTGCAGGTGTGCTTTAACTGTTTTACTACCTATACCGTTTCTGAAAGTAAAAATGTTTTTGATAGTACAGTGGACCCTCGAGTTACAACTGGCTGGACATATGAACAACTCGGGTTACCACCAGAATTTTAGTTTTAAATTACAGAGTCTTGAGTTACAACCCGAATGCCAGGTGCTTGTGCTTCTAGATGGTCTCAGATACAGATTTAACCCTTAAAGAGTTCTGGAAGGAACATTATGACATCCTTTCCTAAGTGGGATTGAGAAACCCTGGGCCAATGTCTCTCTAAGGACACTGAGATCTGCCCGTATACAGGAGAGAGACTTTGAAGGCGGTGTAGAAGAGCCTGAGCCTTCAATTGACCAACCTGAGTTACAACCGCCCTAGAGAACGAATTGAGTTCGTAAGTCAAGGGTCCACTATATTTGAATAGGAATGATTCCCCCATCCCCAATTCTCTTCCCTTTACTCAGCAATATGTATCATCATATCACTTCTAGGAAGTTAATTCTCTCTATGCTTGTGGCTAGGGTCCTCCACATTAAACTTTCAGTAGAAAACCACACCAGGAAAGTTTTATTGCTTGAATACATGATGGCATTGGTAGATGGCATTATTACCAAAGTGTCTGGTGGCATTTTTCATTATCAAGCTCACTTACAACCATGAGATAAAGTCTGCAATCTCCTCTCGCACTTATGGTACTAAATGGCAGACTTTCAACAAAGCAAAATTTAAGCTTAAAAAAATCAAAATGTTTTCTAATGAATAGCAGTTTTACTCAAGAAGTATTTTTAAAAAGCTTGAAGGAAGGGAGCTTTAAAAAAGGATGACTTGGGAAAGCACCAAATCAGAGACAATAACAAATTAAGGCCCATATAGAACATTGATTTTAATAGGGAAAAGCAACCAATGATTTTATTTTATTATTATTATTATTTTTGGGTACCGGGGTCAAACTCTCGGGTCCTTCCGCTTATGAGGCCAGGCAGCAGAACCACTGAGCTAAATCCCAGGCCCTGATTTTATTTTTTTTAGGTGCAATTTGTCAGGTCAGTTCAGGTGTCTTGGAGAGGAAAAACACTATTCTGTACCCAGCTGCTCATTGAGGTATTTTAGTTCAGCTGAATGTTTAAAAAGTTCCCAAAACATTCCTTTGCCTCCCTCCAAGTAAAACTATTAATGATTCTTTAAAAGAGAAATGAGTAAGGCTGATTCACTGCTTCTCTTTGTGCCTGGCTGAAGAATGTGGGGTAAAAAGTGAAGACGGTGACTGGATAGCCAGAAATCTTAATATTTCCCATTTTTAATAAGTTAATGAAAATTAATGTAAAGCATGGTAATAAATATTCTCTTTACAGTATTCAATAACCTAAGGTTTAATATACCCACGTTACATCTATTCCTGAAGAACTTAATGGTAGGGTAAGTATAAATTCTTGCCGTTCAAATAGTTTTCAAGAAAAATCTGACTCAAATTTAATTGTCACATACACCCATTGTTCTAAACACAATTATGAAAGTCTTCATCTGATAATCATCCTAAATTTTTATCGCTTCTCTTTTCTTGAGGTTAAAGAAACCAAAGTAGCATCTATAGCTGTAGTTTAATTTTCTCAATTACTGCTTCAAACACCTATGTCTGCCTGTCTCTGTTGCGCGCGTGTGCACACACACACACACACAGTGGGCAGCTGAGAGAAAGGAATGCAAAATTTCTTTTAGTTTGGCCTGATTTAATAGGGCATAAGAAGCTACCTAAAATATTTGGTTTAATGTTAATGATCATGGCTGGCATTCCTGTCATGCAGGAAGGAAACCTAATTTTCATCCATAATTGGTTCACTTGTTTCTCTGGCGTGGAACAAAATAAGAGCTATTTATTTCTTAAAGCAACAAGGCCTGAACACATGTGAGGCAGTCTCAGATTCGGAGTCAGTCTAGTCTCCATTTAAGATGTAGTCCTCAAGTCTGAGGATGACAGGGTCATTCTTGTGGATAAAAAGTGGTAATGCACGGGGTATGTCAGTGAAAGGAGGGGATCTAATTTGGGGAAAGGATTAAGTTAAATGATCCATGTGGAATTTTAACAGTCTTGGTAACAAAGAATCGTAATTTGTCAAATTTCAGAGGATAAAAGGGAAAAAAATTCTCACTTTCTTCAATCATTCAGAAAATCTGCCATTAAAATATTGGTTTTTTTCTAATGTTTTCCCTTTTTTCTGGTGAGGTGGCTGAACATAAACTTCCTTTACTATCTATCAACCAAACCCTGCCCCATATCTGACAAAAGAATAGGCCCACAAGGTTATCTGGAGCATTCATTATAGACAGTCATTATTTCCCCATAACAGGCTTAGAGAAAGGGTAAAAGTAGTTTCCAAATATTCCAGTTCTGTGTAAGGTCAGGTGTCTTATCAGTTCAAGTTTTGGTAAAGATTTTTGTACATGCTGATGTTAACTACTGCAACAATTATATTACTGTAAAGGATAAAATAACCCGTATGCCTTTGACTAACCCAGTGATTAAAATGCATTTTAACTTCAAAATAATCAAGACAGAAATATTAGCTAAACCCTCACCCTTATATTTAAACAGCTATTAATAGCACCTTCTAAAAGAGGCACTGTTTTAAATAGGCACAGACCAAAAAAATAGTACTCTAAAAATACTGTTGGAATTCACTATTTAATATATCCCATGCCACATAAATTACTTTTTCTTATTATAAAAATATCAATACCCTTAGATACCAATCTGTTAAACATAAATCACCAAAAACACTTAAGTTTAGAACACTGCTCAATTCCAAGATAAAACATGCTTTAAAGTTTAATAAATTAAAGATGAATGTGAACCTAAAGCTGAAGAGAAAAGCATGTATAGTATATATTTGATACTATACACAGGTAATTGCTATGTACTTTAGATATTGTATTCTTAGGAGTATTTCTACAAAAACACGTATCTTATTTTTAATAAGTCAGAAGTCTGAACACCACAATTTGTCCTTTTTCTCGTTGTAAAAGGACACCATTTATGCAGCTTGAGATTTATAAACTAAGTAAGTTAATACAATTCCCTAACTTGTCCCTGTATTTTTCACCATGGATCTATTTTGGCAATATGGAGGTATATCTTTCAAACTGTTACAGGTCCTATGTAGAAAGGAGAGACAATGAAGGATTTCTGTAATGAAAGTGGACCATTCTACCTGGTAGTGACACAATCAACACCATTTTCTTCAAGACAGAAAGCACGTTTAAGGAAAAGCTGATTTTAAAAAAATCTCCATTTTTCACATTACTTCTAAACTTTATCAGGAGAATGGCGGTGCACATTAATTTTACCAAGAGTACACAAACATAAGAAATTAGTCCCCCACAGATGCATTTATGAGCCTGTATTTTCTTTTTTTTCTTTTCTTTTTTTTTTTTTTTTTGGTACCGGGGATCGAACTTGGGACCTTCTGCTTGCGAGGCAGGCGCCAGAACCACTGAGCTAAATCCCCAGCTCATGAGCCTGTATTTTCAACATAAAGTGCTAAGAAATGAGCAACGAGAGCTGGCAATGTCTCTCGTTGTACATCTTGCAGGAATTCAGCATTCGGATTTATTCTTAGGTTCGGGGTGATCATCCAGGCTGGCTAGATGCTCATTTGGACCATCTGGTGTCTCACCTGTGACAGCTAAGAGGATGATTTTTAGCCACTTCTGCTTCAGTTCCTCACTGTCTGCAGCAAAGCTGTGCACAGACTTCGACTGGGTCAGTTTGAAACTGTGTGGCAGGTCCGCACTCCTTGGCATGTCGTCTACGATGTAACCCAAAAGTGGAATTGTAGCCTGCGCTCTGACATCCTAAGCAGAGAATACTGTGCATTAGAAAGTGAGATGTGTCAGCCTTTTATGCATGGCCCCTGCTCCTACCAAACCTCTCTTCCTACCACTGTGCTGCACAGACTCGCACCATGAGCTGCAGGGTGGAGGGTGACCCCAACACCGGATCACATGGCCCACCATAATGCTTGTGGAAGCCTTGGCGAAGGAGGCCTGATGTCCAGAAAAGAGGGGAAGAAAATAACTGCTATCTCACTGTTTAAAGCCAGCAAGCATTAATGAGGAGTGAAAAGAATACTTTATTTGGGGATCCATTCATTTATCAACTTACTTATGGACAAGGTAAGGGTTAGATATTTTTCGTCTGTGTCTACAACTTTACTAGCCATTAGAGTAGATGTAACAGATGTGTTTAAAATTTTACTGTTTCCAAGATAAATGAATAAGTGGTTTAAGGGTGGTGTGTTTCTTAAGTGCTGCATACTTGGTGTTCAATCTTATTGGAAGCTAAGCCTGTGTAACAGCTGTCCCCACAGATTCATCTCAGATGCACACAGTTACAAAATTCAAGACTGACTTAAATCCACCCTTTCACTCCAACTGCTTTCTTTTCAAATATCCATCCATTGAGCACAAAACCAAACCAAAAAGCTGTCCTAATATTTCCAGCCATTAAAAAAGGTACTTTAACAACTCCTCCTTATGCTTCTTACGATCAGTTAATCAGAATATACAACAGACTTGATTTTAGTTAGTCATTTTCAGTTTTAATGAGACACAGTGACACTGCCTAAGATCTTTTGTTCTACAAAGGTGCAGTGGAAGGATTTTTATTTCACTGTCCACAAGCTCTCCCTCTGTCACTCTGAGGGCTTTGTTCCTTCAAGCACAAGTCATTTAGCTACCTGGGGGGCCCCGTACATGTACAGCACGAGAGGGTCTTGCTTGGGAATCACACACCAAGCTTTCTGCCAAGGCTTCGACTTCTCCATGTATTGAAGAAAGCTGCATACCACGCTGTTTCCTGATACTTCTGCTGATTCGATCTAGAAAAATATAATAGAGAAGAGAAAAGAAGCACACAACAAACCAGATAGAGAAGTAAATCAACTTAAGAGAAATAGCCATAAAGTATAATATATTTATATAAAATACATCAGATCATCCACAAAAGATTATTTGCAATTATTGTTGTAAACTCTTATGGGTGGATCTAAAATGTCACCCCAAAAGTCTTACGTGTTTCAGAGGTGAGGCATGGTTGAAGACCTAGAATAACATATTCATGTTCTAGGCTCCTCTTTACAGCTGCTGTGGGGTGAGCAGCTGTCCTCTGCCATGTACTCCCACCATACTGTTTCTGCCTTGGAGCTAACCAACTATGGACAGAATCCTCTGAAAACTGTGAGCTGAAATAAACATCTCCTCTAAGTTTCGGGTGTGGGTGTCAGATATTTTGTCCTGGCAACAGAAAAGCTGACTACTACACTCTCTCACTAACATGGAAATATATTTTAAGTCAACTCTAACTCTTTATTATTACTAGATGTGGAATTTAAATTTAAAACATTTATTGATCACTTCCTATATAAATACTTTTCTTGATACAGGTATTATTTTATTTAATACTCACACCAACACTGAGAAGTTAACACTTTATCTCTGAAGCTAAGTTTTCAAATAGCTTTCCCAAGAGCACACATTTTTTAATTTTATGAAAACATGAAATAAATTTTCATAACCAAATAAGAGATGAAACAAGCTATTACACTGTGTATTATCATCAAAGTACTTATTCAGTACAAGACATAAACCAGAAAGATTCTTACAAAAGAAAACAGATAATTTGCTTTTCAACAAACAAAGATTAACTAGTAAAAATGAAACAAATTAGCATATATATTGAAGTACTTTTAAAACAATGAAATATATAATTTGGGGAATTATTTGAACTTCTCCCTACTTATTTCTCTCTATTTTGCTCTGTGTTCTTTTTCTCATATAAAAGAAACCATGCAATATTTGAGCTTGTGTGTCTGGCTTATTTCAGTTAACATTATGTTCTCAAGTTGCATCATTTACCTATGAATGCCTCAAGCTTATCTTTACGGCAGTATTACTCCATTGTGTATGAATACCACATTATCCATTAATCTGCTGGTGAACATATATGCTGTTTCCAAGATCCAGTTTTTGGGTTTTTTTTTGGTACCAGGGATCGAATTTGGGTCCTTGCACTTGTGAGGCAGGCGGCAGAACCACTGAGCTAAATTCTCAGGACCCAAGATCCAGTTTTATAAACTGTGCTACTATAAACATGGGGATGCATCTATCTCTGTAATATGATGACTTTAACTCTTTTGAGAGAATACCTAGCAGGGGAATAGCTGGTTCAAATGGAATTTCTATTTCTAGTTTTTTGAGGAATCCTCCACATTGATTTCCATGATTGTACTCATTTACATTCCCACCAACAATGTAGTAGAGTTCCTTTTCCCCCACATCCTCACCAGCATTTATTAGATTTCTTGATGATGGCCATTCTTTTTGGGCTAAGATGGACAGTGTCTCAGTGTAGTTTTAATTTGCATTTCTCTGGTGGCCAGTGATGGTGACCATTTTTTCATGTATTTATTGGCTGTTCGTACTTCTTCTGAGATGCATCTGTTCATCTTGGTTACTTGTTTTCTGATTGGGTCTTTTATTTTGGGAGGTCTAATTTTTTTTTTGAGTTCTTTATATATTCTAGATGTTAGTCCTCTGTGGAATGGCTGGCAAAATTTTTTTCCCATTCTGTAGGTTGTCTCTTCACTCTGTTGGATGCTTCCTTTGCTGTGCAGAAGTTTCAATTTGACATGATGCCTATGTCTTCAAGAGTTTCACCTATTTTATCTTCCAGCAAATTAAGTGTTTCTATTTTAACATTTAGATCTTTGATCCACTTTGACTTTAGTTTAGTATATGGTGAGATATATGGTTCTAGACTCAACCTTCTCCATTATGGATATACAATTTTCCCAGCACCTTTTCCTCCAGGGTATGCTTTTGGCTCCTTTGTCAAAGATCAAATAGCTGTATGTGCCTGTGGTTGTTTCTGCTTCTTTTATTCTGTTCCATTGAGCCACCTGCCTGTTTTTGTGCCAGAACCATGCTGTTTTAATCGTTGTAGCTTTTTTTGGGGGGGGGG